ACTCCATGTGGTGGTCGTCCTCCTCCATCTCGCCCGTCTCGCCGTTATCCTCCTCGACCTCGGAGCCCTCCTCCCGCGCCTCCCACTGGATGCCCTCCTTCTCCTGGAGGAACAATCAGACACTTTGAGTCTCTCAGGTATCCTCACCTGTAACACTCTGACCTTCAGCTGGAGCGTCTCTAAAGACAGCAGACACACACACACACACACACACACACACACACACAGACACACAGAGACACACACACTGACACACACACACCACAGACAACAGACACACACACACACACGACACACACACAGACACACACACACACACAACACAGACACACACACACACACACACACACACACACACACACAGACACACACACACACACACACAGACACACACACACACACACACACACAGACACACACACACACACAGACACACACAGACACACAGACACACACACACACACAGACACACACACACACACACAGACACACACACTCACACAGTGCGGGCAGCTCCAGGTGCCCTCGGGGGCTTTCTCCATGTCGGGGTCCAGACACACCATGTGATAGGCTCGGGGGCAGGTGTCACACAGGATGATCTCGCCGCCCTGCTGGCACACCTCGCAGTAGTCCTGGTGGTCGGTCTCATAGCCGTCTCCGTCCTCTGCTTCTGAACCCAACAGAGAAACAGCTCAAATCGGAACAAAATCAGGACGCTGTGCTGAGCCGTCTCTCAGAGGAAACCCCCCACAGAGCGAGCGAGTCAGAGCGAGCGAGTCAGAGCGAGCGAGTCAGATCACACTTCAACGACGCCAACGGACTGAGACTGAACGGTTTCACAGCAAACATCAACATCTACAGGAAACACATCTTTACAGCTCGTCCTCTGACACGTCAACAATCCTCCACGTGTCTTATCTAGCAGATTGTTGGGCTAAAGAATCGGAGTCCTCAGAGACAAAACTCAACAGACTCAGTGTGTGTGTGTGTGTGTGTGTGTGTGTGTGTGTGTGTCGACGTCGCTCTGATCTGAATGATGTTATCGTCTTGTGACAGTAGAAACATCAAAGACAACCAGAGTCAAGTCGTCCTCTTTCTAAATATAACCAACCCTGTTGACTCAGACATAATGACTAACGTGTGTGTGTGTGTGTGTGTGTGTGTGTGTTTCCATACACCTCATGTTGTTGAGATTTTTACCCTGCATGCCGTCGCCCACCGCTCTGCGTTTGACGTCTGATCTGCGAACTCTCTGCAGACGTGAAACTCACCAAACTCTGACTAACTTAATCACAGAATCCTCCCATAACTCCTACATGTTGCACTAATAAATCAGAATCTTTAAAGTCTTTATATGTGATGTTTTGATCCAGCAGATGTCGCCCTTGAGCACCAGCATGAAACCAAAACAACTGGCGCTGCATTGTTGTGTTAGCATGCTAATGCTAGTGATCTTTATTATGCTGGTATCTTCACACTGCATGTAAATTTACCTGAAATGAGCGTGATCTAGAAACACAGTTAAGCAGTGAGTACAGTATGTTATTCTTCTTTTCTCTAGTCCCTCAATTAAACAACTTTTATACACGAGGGGAGGAGTCAGCCGGCCGTCCCGGCGATGTAAACAAAGTGAAGATAGGACTCTGAAAACTCTGAAAAACAGACAGTGGGACTCGGGTGTTACACCCATTGTAGACAGTCATGACTCACAGAGTTACTTTCAGAGGAGATACTTGATTTATACATTTAAGTGTGAAACATATTAACCCTTTAAGGTCATCGGGTGACGTGTGAAGACGAACCTTTCTTCTTCTTGGGTTTGCTCTTGGACGCCTTCTTTTTGCTGCGGCTGCTGCGGCTGTTTGATCCCTCGGAGACGGAGACACTGTTCATGCTGCCGTCCTCAAAGTCGCTTTCTACGTCCGGCTCGTCCTCTTCGCTCTGCGCGACAAACACACACACACACAAACACGTCTTTAAGAGCGCTCTTTCTGCAGGCGGCGCCCCAGTGTGCGTGCACAAAGAGAGAGAGGCGGGTCGTACCGACGAGCGTTTCCGTTTGCTGTTGAAGCCTCCCAGTTTGATTTTGAGCGGCGCCACTTTCTTTGTCTTGGCGCTGTTCTTCTTCTCTTGTGGTTTAGGCGTAGGTTTCGATTTCTTGCGGGCATTGGGACCTGGAGACACAAAACAAAAAGAGGAGGTCGTTACTGACTGTTGATGTTTACGTTACGGGGATGATTTCCTCCAATCACACGCCTCCTTACCTTTGCCTTCCTTTGTCTTGGCCTTGCGTAGCGGCGGCGGAGGGGGCTGCTGAGGCTCCACCGGGGCCGGCGGCTCTGCAGCAACAGGGGCGACCTCGGCCACCATGGTGTCCACGGCGGCGGGGACGTTGGCGGTGGCCAAGGCGGCGTTGGCGGCGGCGGCTCCTCTCAGGGGGTTGTTGGTGCTGAACTCACGCCACTTTGCTCCCAGAACCATCATCATCTTGGACACGGCGATCTTCGGGTTCTTGGCGGCGATGAGGGGCCTGAAAGAAAGGACGGGCGACTTAAAATGATGTCCGAGTCCAGCGTGATACTTATAGATATTACTCGCTCCGCAACCCCGATGTAAACGAGCGCTGTGTAAACGTGTGTACCTCACAAACTGGCTGAAGGCCTTGTAGTTGGTCAGCGAGCGGTAATCCTCCTCCGTGAACACGTGGTCGATGTCCTCCATCCCCCAATCATCGAGCAGCTGAGACGACGTCTTCGGCTCCTGAAGGAGGAAAACAAACACGACCCGTCACTTCTTCAATATCAGAGAAAAGTTCAGACCAAAAGACTTTCCAAAACCTTTTCTGACAAGGAGCACCTGAACGCACCATATCCAACTGACCGAGGAGCACCTGAACGCAGCATATCTAACTGACCGAGGAGCACCTGAACGCAGCATATCTAACTGACCGAGGAGCACCTGAACGCAGCATATCCAACTGACCGAGGAGCACCTGAACGCAGCATATCTAACTGACCGAGGAGCACCTGAACGCAGCATATCTAACTGACCGAGGAGCACCTGAACGCAGCATATCTAACTGACCGAGGAGCACCTGAACGCAGCATATCCAACTGACCGAGGAGCACCTGAACGCAGCATATGTAACTGACCGAGGAGCACCTGAACGCAGCATATCCAACTGACCGAGGAGCACCTGAACGCAGCATATCCAACTGACCGAGGAGCACCTGAACGCAGCATATCCAACTGACCGAGGAGCACCTGAACGCAGCATATCCAACTGACCGAGGAGCACCTGAACGCAGCATCAGCTCCACCTGTTTCCACTTCAAGCGTGATAGCGATCAGCTGTCAATACTAATCTGATTGGCTGAAGAGGAGCGGAGGACAGGAGGGTTAACCAACACGTGCTAACCTGAACACAATCAATACGTGCTGAAGGGACAAACGGACCGGTGACACTCCACGCCACGGTGGTGTTTTTGTACAAACGTTATTATCAACAACAAAGAGGCGTTTGACGTCTGAATCTGTGGTTCTAAAGTGACCAGCACAGATTCATGCAGAGGTTTTAAAAAAGGTGTTTTGTGTTTGTGTGCGTCAGAACACACACTCTCACAATAACGCTGTTGTTCCCTCGCAGCACGCCGGTTACACAGAGACGCTCACGCCACCGCCACTAAATCAAACGGCTCTTTAAAGCGGGGATGCATCGTGGGGTCACACAGAACACACAGGTGTGAGGAGGAAATGTGTTTAATAATGAATTCATCTTCTGGAGGTGATGATGTTTCTCAACCTGTGACCGGCGTGCTCGTTATCAAACTGCCTCACACACTTTTCTACTCGCCAGTTTGACTTCACTGCTCATCTGTCCAAACTCTGAGCACAGAACGTGATGAAAAGAGATCGCACACTGAAACTTAAAAGCCAGAGAAGGTAAGCAGAAATAATTCCAGTTAGTTCAGTTTTAATCAGTTTGATGTAAACTGGGCCACCCGGCACCTCCCCCTCCCCCCTCCCCCTCCCCCCCCCCCCTGACCAGAAGCTGCTTCCCTTTCCGTTGTCTTACAGATGAAGCTGCAGGCGGGATCGAGGGCGGCTCTGACAATGAATTCAAATGTGTTTATCTAACAAAAAAAAAAAAAAGAGGGTCAAGAGCGCAGTGCAGAGAAGTGCTGGGCGGGGTTACCATGGTAACAGCATATATGCTTTACACGTGCGGCCCTAACACACACAGGCTTAGGAACCCCCCCCCCTTTTGCATAAGTGTCATTAACTACACGGCCCCCTATTGGCCGCCGGGCTGCAGGTTCAGGCAGCTCTTTGTTTAACCATCGCCGTCTGTCAGAGAGACGCCATCACAGGTGTATACGGTCTCAAGGTGTGTGTGTCATGGAGCTAAGACACTAAAGTTATAATCATGAAGAGGACGATTTGTATCATCTCAAACATGTCTGAGATTTAAAATGTCCAATAATGTTAAAAACAAAAAGAGTCCAAATGAGATGTCCAAACTGCTTCTTCTGTCCAACAAACTGAGGTGAACAAAATATCCAACAAATTGATACTAAAGCTTTTATATGATGACAACCTTCAACCAACAGCCGTGTGTGTGTGTGTGTGTGTGTGTGTGTGTGGGGAGGTAAGGGACTAACAATGGAGCCTATGTAAGCAGATCAAAAGTTGTTTGTTAAAAGTTATGCTCATGACCTCCGACTGTAGTGCTCAGCATCGAACATTAAGACAGAAAACCTGATTCAACCCGCCATGAATCACATATCGATACAAATGAAGGACAGAGAGTAGAGCTGGGAGTTAAAGGTCACATCCCCTCCTCTTCTTCTTCAGTGTAAATAAGTCTCAGAGCTCCTCAAAACATGTGTGTGAAGTTTCTTGTTCTAAATCCCCTCTGATCCTGTATTTGATCATGTCTATAAACCCCTCTATTTCAGCCCTGCTCAGAACAGGCTGTTTCTGTGTCTGTACCTTTAAATATGTAAATGAGTTGTGTCTGACCACGCCCCCTCTCTGGGAGGGCTTGGGTGTCTCTGGCTTTCTCGCTCCATGTCCTTGTTTACGGTGAGAAGGCAGACTCAGAGGGCAGAACAAACACCTAGCTGTGGGAGTGTCACCCACCTGGGGGAGGGGCTACAGCCCTTTGTGATGTCATGAAGGGAAAATCTCCAAACAACCTGTTTGAGCACACATTTTCTGAAAAGTGGAGCAGGCAGAAGACAGAGAGGATGGACTTTTCTCATCATTGGGGGGTTTGTAGACTAGAGACACATGTTAGAGTTAGAGGAACATGGAGAAGAGGAGTTTAAATATGTGACCTTTAAAGGTGAACAGGAACAACAGGAGCAGCACACCTGGAGACAGGTGAGCATCATGACGTGTCACCAAGTACACATAATTGGTTTTAATGGAGCTTAATTGTGCCTTTAAAGGTGCAGCCAGGCCTAGAACCAGCACACACTGAATCCAACCTCTGCAGTCCATAAAAACGCAAACAGGAAGAATTCTTGAAGCAGAGATCGCACCTCGCCGCGGTGAGCCGTTTATGTGCCTCTTCAACCTGCAGCTGGCTAACTTACTTTTTTAGTTAAACTTCTCCCTCTGTGATTTGATCAAGATTAAAACTTCCTCTTAGACCGGACGTAATCTTTTAAAACCCGAGAGATTCCTGACCGACATGAAGGAAACAAAGACGGCGCTCGCTTTACTCGTGGAAGTTTCTGGGATTCAGAGAAGATGTTTTGTGTCTTTAAAGAAGTCTTTCAAAAGACCCCTGAAGAAGACCTCAAAGTCTGCAGACTCTTTCAGATGGTTAACGTAGGGGAAGTCGTGCCTTTCTGTTTTCAGCCTTCAACAACAACAAATATTTTTCACTTCCTGTGTAACTCTTTCAAACTAAAACATCTCCCCCCTCGTGCACCCCGCCTGCTTTTCCTCACCATGCCGTCGTCATCGTCGTCGTCATCGTCCTCCTCGGGCTCCGGGTCTTTCTTCTTGGAGGCGCTCCTGTCGGTGCCGCTGCTGCTCCTCTTCTTCTCTTTGCCGCTGCTCGCTCTTTTCTTCTTCTTGCGCCCCGGAGTGTAGTTGCTGCCCTCGCTGTCGGAACGCTGGGCGGCAGCGCCATCTTCTGCCTCCTCCAGTACGCCCACGTCCATGGGCTCTGGGGAGCTGATGGGAAGCTCCTGGAGACGAGGAGAGCAGAGACGGAATCAGAAAGATGGATGTTTTCTCTGCACGGTAACTTTGCTACATGTTGCTCGTGGTGGATTCATGTAAATAATAAAACGAGTACAATCTAAACCCGCTCAGTTTGTGAAGGCTCTGCAGATTACACCCGTTATGAATTTGGTTTTCTTTGCAAATCCTGCAGGTCGCCTCATAATCGTCTTTTCATCTTAAAGCTAAATATCCTTCAACGTCTTCTCGCTCTAGTTATCAGTTTGTAAATGTGAACATGAGACGTTAACGTACGTGCTGTGAGCTGTCACGTAAACGAGGAAATCTACAAAGACTGACATCAAAACTCATGTAAGGCTGGCTACAAAGACATGCACCGCTCAAATTTAAAAACCTCTCAAGAGGACCAATCTGACCTTTTATGACCTTTTAAAAATCTAAATTTTGAGGACTTTATAAGACTCTTGTTATGATTTAATATCATGAAACTATAGGCGAGAAGATAACTGTTAAGGAGTCTGATTTAAAGGAACCGGCATAGATAAATAAAGGACCTGACTTTTAAACATGTTTTTCAGTCTTTAGTATTGCTCAGCGTGTTTGACTTTGGCGGTCGCTTCCCTTGGGTGAGACGATTATCTGTTCCTACAACAACTGAACGGTACGGGATTAAAAACACCAAACATGATGATAAATCCAATGTGCAGTCTTACCTCTCTGCGCGACCGCCTCTTGCTGCCTTTGCTCTCTTTGCTCTTCTTGGCTTTCTTCTTCTTCTTCACCTTCGGAGTCTCACTCTCCGAGATCTCCTCCTCCTCCTCGTCTACAAGGGAAGGACAGAGGAGACATTTCAGGGTTAAGACAATCTAACTGATCAGAGAGCTGGGAGGTCAGCAGACACGTCCTGCTGCTAACACAGTTTTGGATGTTTGTTTACATCTGGGAGGTAAAATACTGAACTGTCATTTCCACCGTTCTCTCGTGGTCTTTGAAATCTAGGAGTCGTGTTGGGCTGTAAACAACTATCATTTCCTGTAAATGTCGTGTTTGAAGAAGATATTCACTTTTCTTTATCTTAACGGTCAGGTAAAAGCGCCTCATGAAGATAACAGAGGCAGTCTGCCTGCCTTCACACTTTCAGGTTCAGTGTGTGAAAATGTCTTCACAGACCTTCAGTTTAATATTTGGGACTTCTTCTTCAGTGGCTCCAAAGTGATGCTGAACTGAAGGTCCATTGATGTCACAGACTGAGGTTAGAAGAACCACCTGCTGAAGAAGACGCTTCAATGTGATGGAGGTGAATCAGTCAAATAAAAGGAGGCTGAGCGGTGTGTGTCGTAGGGGGGTCACCTGTACATGTATGGGGGTCAAAGTATAAAATGATCTCTGACCATAAACCTGCAGCAGGTTAACGCTCATTTTAAGCTTCAGAGAGTCCTGATGTGTGGACAACAGACCTGAGCCTGATTTCATCCAGACAAACTGGGTTTCTATAACATGACTTGTAAGACGTGTTATACTGCGACACTTTTGGTTTCCTTGAGCCTTGACATGATCAATTAGGACTCCATGTTTTGAGAGTTTAATTTACAGAATAAGCAAACAATACAAGAAAACACATACTTAGATTTATTAATCGAATCTTGTCTTGTCGACTGTGGTGGCGAAATAAACCAAATTTTTCTTACCCTCTTTTTAAAACACGTTATTAATAATTAACTCAGCACAAATACAAATTATTTTCTAGCTCCAGTTTATCCAAAATAAAGTCTTTCCACTTTCCTTTGTTTTACACCATTGTTAAATTTATATCTTTGTTGTTTTCTGAGGGGAAAAAAGGGGAAAAAAAACATTTGCCGATAATGCCACGACTTCAGATGAACTCTGATGGACTATATTCATTATTTTCCGGCTGTTTTTTGGAAAGATTATTAAATATGTATTGAAATTATCAATGGTAGCAGTTGTACTGGTGTTTAACTTTGGCCTCGTTTCAAATATTATTCTTATATATATATATATATATATATATATATAGAATAGCAGCAAGGTGCATTTCTTTGAACAATATGTTGTCATTCTACAAGGTTTAGATTCTACTTTGTTTAAGATAAGATAAGATAATCCTTTATTTATCCCACAACGAGGAAATTTACATTGTTACAGCAGCAAAGAGCAAAGACTGCAAATAAAAAGTAAACACAGTACAATTTAAATAAAAAATAAATACTAAAAAATAAAAAATAGATTTAAAATAAATAATAAAAAATAGATTTAAAATAGATAATAAAAATAGATTTAAAATAAATAATAAAAATAGATTTAAAATGATAAAAAATAGATTTAAAATAAAATAAATAGATTTAAAATGATAAAAAATAGATTTAAAATAAAATAGATTTAAAATAATAAAAATAAAAAATAAATTTAAAATAATTATTACTATAACTTATTATTATTACTATTTGACATGTACTTTCAGACAGCATCACTTGCTCCTTTTAGTCACATTTAGAGACATTAGAAGAATAAAAAGACAGTTCTTGTTGATTTTAGCACATGAAGCTAACTTGTAGGACTTTGTGTTCTCTGAAACAACGCGACGCACAGCCGCGACAAAACCACTTCATACCGTTTAAAAGATGATTAATATTAGAGTTAGAGTCTGAAACTGGACATTTACACGACGTGCTGGGGGTTTTCCTTTAGTTTAGTTTGGTCCCTCAGTCCGGGTTAGTGGAGGCGCCGGCCATGAGGAGGGGGAGCAGCGTCACCCGGCAGCTAACGAGCTAACTGGCTGCCTCCATCTTGTCATCGACGCGTAGAGACAAACACCGGTAGCTGCTAACGCTAGGCCCCGGGAAACAAGCCGGTCAGGCGGCGTTACTCCACCACGAAGCGGCTTTCAGCTCCACACTGTCTGTTTCTAGTTGTTGTTAAACTGAGTGATTCATTTGAACATGTTTAACAGCAGCGCGCACCAAGGGAGCAGTTTAGTTAGCCTAGCCGCTAACAGAAGCTACCCGGTAGTTAGCCGCTGTGCTAACGAGACATGACTGATGTGAACGTCAGAAAACATCTGCTCCCGCTAGCTGTTAGCACCCACAGCCTGTTAGCACCCACAGCTAACAGCTCCACTCACCGTGCAGTAATCGATCCTCTCCGTAATCATCTCTGTCGTCCTCACTTCCAGACATAACTAACTTTATATCTAGTTAGCTCGCAGCTAAAGCTAACTGAATAAAGTTATTTATGTGCAGGCAGATCCAGACTTCAGTCGGTCCAAGTCCTGGTGGTGTGTTCTGTAAGAAAGACACAGCGGAAGTTCATTTCTGTGAGCAGAGACCATTCACAACATAACACCTCCACGAGCTGCTCCACGAGCTGATCCACGAGCTGCTCCACGGACCATCACTACAACTTTATATCTGTTCACACACACACACACACACACAGTCACACACACAGTCACACACACACACACACACACACACACACGGTTAGTTTAGCATGCCGTGCTAACCGAGCTGACCGGGTTCTGAAGATTCGAGCATCACAAAACAAATCAGTGTGAACATCTTTACATCCTAAACTCTTTACCCCCCCCTCTCTCTCTCTCTCTCTCTCTCTCTCTCTCTCTCTCTCTCCCTCCCCTCTTCTTATCCTGACTCTAGTAGAAAATAAAAGAAACAACAGTAAAACCAAAAGCTGAGATACTCACAAGTTGAGCTTCTGTCAGTCGGTTCAGTCTGCAGCTCTTTGTGTTCCGTTAACGGGAAACAAACCATTTAAATATATTTCCGTGTTTTTGTGGCAGCGTGTGCGCACGACGCCGTCTCCTCTTTCTCTGTACTCACACCCCGCGCCCGCGCACACACACACAAAGAGATCAGGGGGCAGGCATCCCATAATATCCCCCCCTACACACACACACTTCTCAATCACCCCTCCCCCACTCTGCATAGTTACCTTGCAACGTACAGACCATAATAGTCAACTCACCCCTCCCTCTCCTACAGTCTCTTCCCCATTCCTCCATGCACACCACCCCCTCCCTTAGCAACCGAGGTTACCATGGAGACGCTCACCCCCCCTCCCACCCCCGTGGCATCCCATAATAGTAATGAGCGCAGTCACTGACATCCCTCAATGAGCATAACTCCAAAAAGAGAGAGATAGGAGAAAGGAGGGGGGGGGGAGGAAAAAGCCGTCACATGGCAACTGTGTGTGCCACATGACTGCTTAACTTGAGTGTGCATGTTTGCATGTATGCGCAGGCACTGTACTGTATATGAGTGTGGCTGTGAAAGAGTGCACAGGATGTGAACGCCGTGCAAGGCCTGTCGCGCCCCCGGGTCACCAAAAGTGGGGTGTCACCTGGCGACCTCGGGTGTAACCCCCAAAACAAGACGTTTTGACTTAGAACAAAAGACTTCTTTATTGACATGACTCACTAAAGACATGTAATCATCTCACTGGCACACGCCGGCCGAGAAGTTTGGAGCTAACTTTAAAAGTGGAGAGTTTCCTGAGCAGGTTAAAAAGTCTGGGTACATGGGGGGGGGGGGGGGGGTCACAGGGGTCAAACTGTAGTCAAAACCTTCAAGTCTGCAGCCATAAGCCCCCCTCCCCTAAAAAACAAGAAACAGGGCGCCCAGAAGTACAAGAGCCAAGCCAACAGCTGAGTTAAGCTGTCTGCACACACACACACACACACACACACACACACACACACACACATGGGCGAGCTCCACAGGCTGCTTGGAAATGCATTGCAGTGAATGGTGGGAAAAACGTCTGGGTCCTAGACTGTATTTTCCCACCATTCACTGTCTGTACTACATTCAGACTGTGGGGCAGAGTGCACAACTGTCTGTGTTTCATGTGGAGGAAATGCTTCTGAAGGACGTTCAACCACATGGGGAATCAACAGTGTACAGCTAATGGAGGGGGGGGGGTCTCTGTATTTGGGCATCAGAATGAGTTATTTGTTGTTATTGCAGGAACAACAGTCTGCCCTCCTGGTGCTTCTGAAGTAACAAATCAAGAGACTAAATGGAAACATGAAGCCGATGCTGAAGTGTAAAATCCTGCAGTTCCTGGAGTGTCCACTAGAGGCTGGCTGCAGAAGCACAGGAAGTCACATACACACCCATTCTAAAAAGCCTGTTTTTACAGCAGAGATGAACATGTTTACAGCCTGGTTCAAAAAACCAAATAGGTGTGATTAGCTCATGTCTGGATGGACACACACTGTACGGGGGGTGAATGTTTTGATGACTCATCAGTTTTGATTTGATGAAGGATAAGAGTTATTCACAATAAGGCGTGTAGCTGACCTGATTGACAGGTGGGCGCGGTGTAACGGTTTGTCAGGAGGTTTAAAACCCGCCTCTACTCCTCATGCTCCTCCCCTTTGCTTTTCATGTAAGATCATGTTTTATGTGTAGCTGCTTTCACACATGAACTCCTGAAGTTTTCTAGACAACTTCAGGCAGACTGCGGAAATGTTCCTGAGTCGCTTATTCACGTGTCCGTCACAGGGGGGAGATAGTCCGTGTTGGGGGGGGTCAAGACAAGACGTAAACAGGACAATGGAGAAGCGGTGGACGATGCTTTAATGAGAAGTTTGTCCTTTATATAAATGCTACATGTAGAGCCACATATTCATACTATCAACAAAAGAGAGGAGGAGAACATACCGGTGAACGTAAACCTCAAACTCTTGGAACCTGGAGAGGAAATAAACGTTTGGAACAAAGCAGACGTCTGCGTCAGGAGGTTACATAAAGGGTCGATTGGGGGGGGGCAGTTTAGCCAGCGTGGTCTTGTCCATAAAAATATAAAAAAGCTGGCATACCATATCATCAAGTGTAAAACAAGATGCAGCTTTGCATATAAAGTTAAAAGATGGACATCATTTCCTTTTTTCATAAACATTGACTGTATATAAATATGGACAGTGCTCCTCCCGTTGTACAGAACTGAAGCCAAAGTCTCCTCGTTAAAAAGTGAGATTCTGCACAGTAGAGCGGGACAGAAAGCGCGGCGGTGTTGACATCACGATGCTCCTTCTGCAAACACAAACTCACATGTAGCGCCTGCGTACACTAACGCCGTCGTTTTGCTCTGGCGGCCATTTTCAGCACTTACCAAAGCGTTTTAGCGCTCAGGACGTCCTTGATTTCAGCTCACATTTAACCGTTTTACAAACAGCGCCCTCTCTTCACGGTCACTTCTCCATCAGAGAGCGATCAGAATATAAGAAAACAGATGTGATGTTCGATCGGGGGGGTCAGAATCCTCTCGTGTCGTGTAGTAAGAAAAGAGAAACAGAGCGAGAGGCAGCTGCGTGTGATTAAAGTGACAGAGACACGTTTAGTCGTTACAGAGACACGTTTAGTCGTTACAGAGACACGTTTAGTCGTTACAGAGACACGTTTAGTCCTTACAGAGACACGTTTAGTCGTTACAGAGACACGTTTAGTCGTTACAGAGACACGTTTAGTCGTTACAGAGACACGTTTAGTCGTTACAGAGACGTTACAGAGACACGTTTAGTCGTTACAGAGACACGTTTAGTCCTTACAGAGACACGTTTAGTCGTTACAGAGACACGTTTAGTCCTTACAGAGACACGTTTAGTCGTTACAGAGACACGTTTAGCCGTTACAGAGACACGTTTAGCCGTTACAGAGACACGTTTAGTCGTTACAGAGACACGTTTAGTCGTTACAGAGACACGTTTAGTCGTTACAGAGACACGTTTAGACGTTACAGAGACACGTTTAGTCCTTACAGAGACACGTTTAGTCGTTACAGAGACACGTTTAGTCCTTACAGAGACACGTTTAGTCCTTACAGAGACACGTTTAGTCGTTACAGAGACACGTTTAGTCCTTACAGAGACACGTTTAGTCCTTACAGAGACACGTTTAGTCCTTACAGAGACACGTTTAGTCCTTACAGAGACACGTTTAGTCCTTACAGAGACACGTTTAGTCCTTACAGAGACACGTTTAGACGTTACAGAGACACGTTTAGTCCTTACAGAGACACGTTTAGTCGTTACAGAGACACGTTTAGTCGTTACAGAGACACGTTTAGTCCTTACAGAGACACGTTTAGTCCTTACAGAGACACGTTTAGTCCTTACAGAGACACGTTTAGTCGTTACAGAGACACGTTTAGACGTTACAGAGACACGTTTAGTCCTTACAGAGACACGTTTAGTCCTTACAGAGACACGTTTAGTCCTTACAGAGACACGTTTAGTCCTTACAGAGAACATAAACAACACGGCGTCTTCTTTCTGTGAAAATGGAAAATTAGTTGGGATGAGAGTTTGTTTAATCAGCTGGGGGGGGGGGGTGGGGGGAGGTTCATGGATCTGGTAGCAAATGATTCATGTCAGCGCAGTGTCCCGACACTTTGGCTTTTAACCCGCTTCAAGCTGCCCCCCCCCCCCCCCCTCCCCTCGCTCCTCCCCCCTCTCTCCTGAAGCTAAAGGCCTTACTGTGCTCTCTGACTCAGCACCTCCTCATATTTGGAGATTTTTCTTTCTCCTCTCGTCTTTCTTTTTGTCCCGCCGCTGAGAGCCGCTTCCCCTCGTTCCGTCCCGCACACAAAGAGCGACTTCAAAAAACAACTTCTGTCTTTCTTTTATCGCCATTTCTTCCTCTTTCTGTCCCTCCCTGTGTTTGCGTCTCTCCCCCCTCCCCCACACTTCTCCTTTCCTTGACTATGGACACAGTGTTCATGTGTGCATTTGGGGGGGAGGGGGGGGGGGTGTAGGATGAGGAAGAGGAGGGGGGGACATCCCATAATCACCAATCAGAAGGATACTGGGGGCAGTTGTCATAGAAACCTCGTGCACGGCTCCCGACGCCCCTCCCACCCCAACCAGACTTTCAGAATTGCATATCACATAATGATAATAAAATCATTTCTGAGGAGAAAAGGAAAAAATGGAGGCGGAGGTGGGTGAAGGAGGGGGGGGGGCTACAGACCATAATAGTGCTCATGGACCGCTGGTCGTCATGGAATGCAGTCTTGGTGGTGGATTGCACGGGGTCAGATTATCATGTAATAAAATACATATTACATCTGGAGGGGGGTTGCAGGCGGGGTCAGA